GTACTGTGTATATTTATTATGTATATATAAATACACACATATATATTTAGAAGATATTTACATGTATATACATTTATATATTCATATTCTTATATTTTATATGATATATAAATATATTTAATATATAAACAACATATTTTTCTTAAATATATACATGCATGTGTATACATGCAAATATACACAGTATACACACATATATTATGTAAACAAAAACTTTTATTTTGGATGCTCATAACCTTTAGCTGCTGGATTAAATCACACTCAATGACACAGACCATTTGCTCCGGCGGTCCGAGAAAGACAATATTTAATTTGTCCCTCTTTCTCTCTCTCTGCTTATCCTTGAAGAACATAATTGATATTGTAAATAGAAAGTTGGAAGGTCGCTGGAGTTTCGGCATGCACTGTTTACATAATGTACAATTATGTTTTGCCTGCCATTTCCTGGATGTTAGACAGAGGCCTGAAACAGGCGTGTGGGGGCGAATGACCTTGTGACACACACAACGACACGCTTAACACACAACACACACACAACACGTTTAACACACACAAACCCTGAACTCACTGTTACATCCGCAGTACATGCGCTCAGACACGGAGGAAAAACACGCTTGAATCTGCAGCAGATGGAGTCTCAAAAAACTGTATAAATGGTTCTGTTAAAACATATTACATTTCAGATGTCTCATTGCTTTCACACATCACAACAGCTTTCACACGCTATACAAAAATTATATTTTGACAAGGCATCTTCTGGAAATTATTAGTGCAAGTCGTGACATTCTTGCCACATGACCTCATTTTTCTAGACTAATTGCAGTGCTTCAGGAAGTGTTTTAATTAGTAATATGTTAATTAATTGATTAACCAATAGGGCAGTATGTGCATGCATTTCAAATCTGTAGCCAATTAAAATAGCATAAATAAATAAATCAAATATTTAAAAATATTATATAACAATTAATAATATTAATTATTCTAATTTTATTAGGTAGTGAAATATGCTACCATTGATTTACCAATAGGTTGTGCATACTGAAGCCAATTAAAATGACGGTAAATAAAAATAATTAATTAATAGATAATTAATTAATTAAAAAGCTAAATAAATAAATATTATATATTATATAACAAAAAATATTAATTACATATACCTCACTTAACTCAGCTTATTTTTATTAATTTATTAATTTATTTATGTTTGTTTGTTTGTCTTATTTTATGATTTTCGTTTTAACCTAATAACCCTGATGTGATTATTCCTAAAATAAATAGTTCCCAGTGCCTGTATAACCTGTGTCCATCTGTATTGCTGAGGGTTGTCTCTCATTTTTATTTATAGGCCTAATTATTTTGTAAGCGTGTTGTCTTCATCATTGGCGTGTCCTGAAGGCCGTGTGCGTCTGAAACTGTCTGATCAGTGGTTTGAATGCATGCGTGACGGAGGTGATGTGTGCTGCATTACTGTATGAACTCCATTCACATTCACACATGACCACTGTTAGAGACACATGACCTTCATTATGTGGGTGTGTGTGTGTGTTAGTGTGTGTGTGTTAGTGTGTGTGTGTGTGTGTGTTAGTGTGTGTGTGTGTTTGTGTGTGTGTGTGAGAGTGTGTGTGAGTGTGAGTGTGAGTGTGTGTGTGAGTGGTGTGTGAGAGTGAGTGTGAGTGTGTGTGTGTGAGTGTGAGTGTGTGTGTGAGAATGACACAAGGGTCTCGTCATGCATGTAAAGCAGATCTGATATAATGTCCTGTTTGCTGGATTATTAATTATATCAGATGCGCTTTACATGATGAGAATCCTTTGCACACGGTTGCAGGTAGACATCATATTTGTAGTGTGGGCGTGCATTTGTGTATTGATAGTAATGTTTAAACAATTTACGATAAGAGCTTTTGCTCCGCTTTATTTCTGTTGTGGTTTAGTTCAGAAACGTGATTGTTCAGTCAGTGCATTTCAAAGGTCTGTGTTTTATTCCAGAGGAACTCCACATGTGAACATGAATTTGAGTTTCATATTCATACTCTAGAAAGATTTGACTGGTGAATGTGTGGAAATAATCTTCTGCAACTATACACTCGTGTCACAATTCTGTTCGATACATGATACAATACTATCACAATAGTAAAAAACAAATATATATATATTTTTAAATTACTTAAGTTACTTGAAATAAAATAAAATAAAATATAAAAAGAAAAAAATATTTATATTATATGATTTATAACTTATTTCAGCTGGTTTCCAAGACAACATTTCTCATTTTCATTTACTTTAACTTGTACTAAAATGTCTAGAACTGGGATATGGATTTAAAAATGGTAACATCTTTCAGCTTTCAGGGTCACCATATTTGTTTGCTTTTTGTATGCGTGTTGGTATTTTAGCATCTTTGAGATACTATTGTAGTTTTTGTTAATATTTTGAATTAGATTTTATTTTTATATTTTCACTTTAAAGTTCGTTCAAATTTTATTTGTTGTGTTTTTTTTTTCATTTTCAATTTTTTTCATTAATGTCTATATAGTTTTTATCAAATTGTATTTATTAGTTTTAGTTTTTTTTACTAAAATGTCTAGAACTGGGATATGGATTTAAAAATGGTAACATCTTTCAGCTTTCAGGGTCACCATATTTGTTTGCTTTTTGTATGCGTGTTGGTATTTTAGCATCTTTGAGATACTATTGTAGTTTTTGTTAATATTTTGAATTAGATTTTATTTTTTTATTATCGGATTTCATGTTCATTTTACATAAGTTTTAGAAATTTTGTGGGTTTTTGTCATTTTTATTAGTTTTTGTTGTTTTAAAAAATGTCTATTTATATCTTTTTTTATAAATGATTTCAGTTTTAGTTATTTTAGTACAAATTAAACTAAACAAAAATTTGAAATGTTGCCTTGGCAACAAGCTAAAATACGTATTTTCTCATATTTTAATTTATTTTATTTCAGTTAACATTTTTTATTTCAAGTAATGCAGTTTTTAATGTTTTTAGTTTTAGTTAACTATAATAACACAGGAATTAACCAATGTTTATATGTAAATAAAAGCCAAAATTAAATATTTCTGAACATTCATCTTTTGGCGAACTATGCACAAAAAATATTGTCGCTATACATTGATACATATTGTAGCATTTTTATATTGTGATTTAAAAAAAGAGGGAAAAAAGAATACATATACATACATACATACACTCACACACACATATATATATATATATATAATTTAATGTATTTTTTTAAATATATCTTTAAATATGTTTTTTTCTCTTTCCACTTTCTCTCGGACACTTGCATTTAAACATTAAAAAAAAATAAAAAATCTAAGTAAATATGTATTTCTGTAGAGTAGTAGTGCGTGACACAGACAATAGCAAGGTCATAGGTCATTGTTAGGCAATACATGAATTAATGAAATGTCCACCTTAATATAATGTTAGTTATGCTTTGAAAAAAAATTGTCTGCAAATGCATAAATGTAAAATATAATGCCTTAATAACCCTTCAGCAAGTTAATTTGCAGAGAAAGTGTTGCTGGGGAAGTTTTGTTTTCTCCATTCTGACCACAAACACGCTGACGATATGAAGCAGACGGGAGATTTAGAGTCGTATAAATCTGCTGCTGGCTGTAAAGATGACGGTTTGTGTGTAAATCCTCCTGCTCTGTATTTATGGTTTGTGTTGTTGTGTCTCCTCAGGATCCTGAGCAACAATAAGATCTCGGCGCTGAAGAATAACTCTTTCCTCGGCCTGCGATCTCTGGAGAGACTGTGAGTGCAATCGCCATTTCCATCTGGTTATATATTGTGTAGAGATGATAAAACGGGGGAGAATTGGCTCCTAGTCATGTAGAAACCATATATACGTATATATCAATAAGTACATGAAATGAGACCCATCCATCAGCAGAAATCTGTTTTTCCAAATCTGCTCCTGGTTCCAGGTGATTATCAGGTGTAAAGTCTGTGTTTCTGCACACATACATCCAGATATCCTGAGCAAAAGCCTGAAGCGTGTTTAAAGAGCCGCTTTTATTTGGACCGGTTTTATTTTAGGGTGCACTGTTCCTTTAAATCATTAAAATCATGAGCAGATGTATGAGATTGAGATATATACTGTATTATGTATATATAACAGTTTTGTAGTGAAATTAGTATATTTAATATATTAATATGGTTATATAAGTAATATATAACAATTAATATAGTAATATATTAATAATATATAGAGACTTTAAGACCTGAAGTGGGTCAGAAAAGGTAAAGAGAGATGCGTTTCAGATCCGTGTCACGTTCAGCAGCGGCGGCTCTTAAAGTAATAGCAGCCTAAAAACCTAACAACCAGCAGCTATTAATCAAAGAAACCAATAACTTTTGTAGCTTTAAGGATTCATCTGTATTTAATTTAGAATTTAGTGTTTGATAACTTTATTCAATTTCTGTATATTTCCTACTTGCTGAAGGGCACAGGTAACTAAATATGATATTTATTATAATGGGTTTATGTGAAGATTGTTTTAAGTTCACTTAAATTAGAAGTTATTTTAAGTGGTCTAATAAATGTTAAAATTGATAGCTCTTGTAATGTTGGATGGCTAAAGTCAATGGTTAAATATTAGGGGAAAAAATAATTTCCCAGAGACATCAGCTGTATTGGTATCAGTGATACTGTCCTTCAGTCATAAAAAAAAAGATGCCATTATACAAATATTCAAAATATACTGTCTTTATGTTGTTTCTACATTAAAGATCGAATGTGAAATTATTGCAATGCAAAAGTATTTTTAAAAACTTTAATGTTAGGTGGGATTAATCGTGATTAATAAAAAAAAGTGTGATTAATTAGTTAATTTTTTGATTGACAGCACTAATTTTAATATTACTAATACATGGTAATATAGTAATATTAATAATATATAATAGAAACAGTTTTCAATGAAATGAGTATGCTTAATATATTAAAGTTATATGAATATAATTTGTATTATTAATATGGTAATATTGATTGGGGGTATATTAAATATATATTACAATAATAATAATATTTTAATATTAATAATGTAATAGCAACAGTTTTCTGGTTGGATAAATTAATTAATACAATTAATTTAATAACATATTAATGTTAATATGTAATAGCAGCGATTTTTCTGGTGGGATAAGTATGTAATATATTAAAGTAATTCATTATTAATATTAGTAATTCATATATTAATATATAGTAGCAACAGTTTTCAATGAAATGAGTATGCTTAATATATTAAAGTTATATAAATATAATTTGTATTATTAATATGGTAATATTGATTGGGGGTATATTAAATATATATTACAATAATAATAATATTTTAATATTAATAATTTAATAGCAACAGTTTTCTGGTTGGATAAATGTATTTTAATATGTTTATATATTACAATTAATTTAATAATATATTAATGTTAATATGTAATAGCAGCGATTCTTCTGGTGGGATAAGTATGTAATATATTAAAGTAATATTAATATATTAATAATATATAGTAGCAACAGTTTTCTGGTGAAATTAGTATTTTTAATTATAATTATATTAATGTAATATATTATAATTTATGCAATGATGCGATCAGTGAATGATGGCAGATTGTGAAGTGTTGTGTTTGAGCACAGATGTGTTGATTCTGTCTGTGAGGAGGTGAAGAAGTCTTTCCTTTGACCCTAACTGAGTTCAGCGATTGATTCGTCCTTTAATCGAGCTCTTATCGTCGGTCCAGACGCGCTGCATCGAGCTGCTGATGCTCTGCCTTCAGTCAGAGTCAAACCAGACTCCGATCATCAGATCAGCTCATGCAAAGGGCAGCAGGGTTATTTTGTGTCAGACACGTTCATGCATGTGGCTGGGTGTGATTCCAGCATTTATATGCATTTACAGCATTTGTCAAAGTAGCTGCTGGAAACCATTGCAACAATTTCCTACTAGGATAAGTGTATTTCATACACTAAGTAAATAACAAAATTAATATAATAATATATTAATATTAACAATGTATAATAGCAACAATTTTCCACTGGGATAAGTATATTTAGTATATTAAATGAATATTCATATATTAACATAATAAACATTAATAATATATATAATAGCAACCGTTTTCTGGTGACATGAGTGCATTTAACATATTAAAGTTAGATTAATTTAAAACATTATCATTTATATAATAATGCATTCATATTAATAATATATAATAGCAACAGTTTTCCAGAGGAATTAGTATATTAAAGTAATATTAATATCAGTATAATAGCAGCGGTTGGATGTGTATCATAGAACTTAAATATGAATTTATTAATGTGCATATTCATGCGCTATAATGAAGGGGAGCACGGGGCACAACACTCAATTTGTGTAAATCCTCAGGGGGTTCAGAGTATATATATATATATATATATTTTATCCACAGTAATTTCACTTCTTGTCTAATACAAATATTTCGCTTTGTTTCATAATTACAATGTATACGTTTTTCTTTATTTACCCTCAAACAATGGAAGAGAGATGTGACAACATGCCCCATAGGTGGGGTACATTGTAACATCTGAGGGGCACGTTGTAACATGACCATATGACAGCTTAAAATGTTATCTGATGCAAGACAAACTAAAATATCTTGTCAATAAATCTGTATGTGGGTGTGTGTGAAAATATTCAGATGTAACCCTCTTTGTAATCGTTAACCTTTTCATTAGTAACTGTAATTTAATTACACACGTGTTCTCAGTAACTGTAACAGATTACAGTTACATTTATTTTGGGTTCTGCTTTATTTTAAGGTGTCCTTGTTACAGTGTAATTATACATTTAAAGGTCCCCTGAAATGCTTAGAAACACGCAGTGTTACTCTGTGTGTTGACGTCATTTTAACTGAAACAGGAAGACAGGGCGGGACATATCAAGCAGCCCCGCCCCTTTTTAAAATAGCCAATAGCGTTCGTTTATATCACAGCTTAGGCTAGAGCCATTCAGAGCCGTTGAGCTCAGTAAAGCAGCATTTGACAGGGTATGCCAGCCACAATCTCATCCATATTGCTATAAAATATAGCATTCTGTGTAGAATTCAAATAGCTCCGATACATTTTGTGGTCTGCGCCGACTCGGCTTCAGCGTCTGTTTTATAGTGTAGGGGGCGGGTCTTCGGATTCTAGAGAGCGTTTGATTGGACAGAAAGTTTGATGAGACGCTGAAGTATGATGTGACGTCAAAAAAATCGTTGAGCCGTTTTGGCGGAAGTGAAGAACTGCAAGCTTTGAATGCTTATATCTTCTAAATGCTAATTTTGTCACTGTTTTGGAGCACACTGCCTTATAGATAACCTTAAGACTAACATATTGATACTAACACCCAAAAAACTTTCATTTTGATTTCATGGGGACTTTAAGGACTGAATTAACTACATGTACTTACTATATGGTTAGGGTTAGGATGAGGGTTTGGTTTAGGGTTACTTGCATGTAATTATGCATAATTTATTGTTATTATAATACGTAAATGCATGTAACGTGTAACAAGGACACCTTAAAATAAAGTATTACCTTATTTTGTAATTAAATGACATCACAGTCTTGTGAAAAGGGTCCATTGTGTGTTTTTTAGGGCAGTTTTCTCGGCAGTGTGAGATTTAAGGACACTGCATTTGTGCATTGAACGTTTTGTGAACCTGAGAAAACACACAGGATTTCTCCAACAAAAATAGTGTACCGAATATTTCCGTCTCTTCATGAACTGAAATACACTTTCTGTTTGGAAGTGTATTTGATTTATTGCAGGCTTTTAAGGCTAGTCAGCACTTTATTAATGCAGTGATTTAGATATGATCGCATTAGCTTATGTGTTACTCGCGCTGATTTAATCTAGTAGCACAAAAGTGACTCAAATGATCTCATTGTTACAGAAACACAAAGTGGTTTTCATGGTTGTTTTTGTAAACTTTGTTTTAATTATATTTCAAATATTTCCGTCTGTTGACCAAACCATTTGATAAGTGCTTTGGTGGGTTTTATCTTGATGCTTTCTTTGAGAGCAGCTGCTGGTTTAACGCTTCGCAAATTGAGGAAATGATGAATGGATTCACTGAGTGGAAACATGTGCCTTTATTTATTACCATTTAAATCACTTAATTGGGTCACTGGCCAATTGTTAATTATACAGAAAAGCACCTGGTTTAGTTTTTAAAGGTCAGTTTAAACATAGCAGAGCCGCCAAAGATGAATTTATGATACAATTTCTTAAGTGAATGCAGATTTTATGCTTTAACTGCCCAAATTTCATTTTGTTATATGACTAATTTCAATTTATATTAACATTCCTGAACCAAAACATATGTCTTCTGTTGTCTGATACGTATGGCTTTTGTTTGTTTGTTTTGGTCTATTACTTGGCTGATTTTTTTCATTAATTATACTAAATTCAATTAAATTGACAGTCAATAAAAATTCATGCATTCTAAATTAATTTATTTTTAAATAAATAAATAAAAAGCAAATAAGAATATAAATTAATGGATACATAAATCTATAAATAAATTGTCTTTATTAATAAATAATTATAATTTTTTAAATGAATGAATTAATAAATAAATATAAACAAACAAACAAAATATAAATAACGCATTCTAAGGGTTATTTCTGTCTGTGAGATTTTTTAATTGTTGGTCTAATGCTTGGCAGATTTTTCCCCTTAAATATGGATGGATAGATGGATGGATGGATAGATGGATGGATGGATGGATAGATA